AAGTACTGTTCCGACAATGACTTTCACTAATTTTGTTTTCATTCAATTTATCTGCTCACCAACCCAAACCCCACCCTAGGGCTTTAAGCTGACATCTATTCCTTGAATTCAACAAATTTAACTCTAACGCTACAACCACCTCTTTCATCATCCCATCTAATCACTAATGGCTCAAATATTCCTTCCAACTTAATATTATCATGTAATTCTAAAAACCATCGAAAGTGAGTCTTGGAGATTATGGACTTCTACTCCTCACTCAAAATGTCATTCAAAGAAGCAATACGTTTCGTTTTCAATGAGTGACGAACAAACAACTGCAAAAAAAATGTATTTTGGTACAAATAACCAACGTAAGTCACAACCCAAAAGCAACACACACCAAAAAAATTACTAACACATGCAACACCAAAATCCCCTCCCCAAAATACGAATACGGAGACACGAAAAAGTTCATACCTTGTTCGAACAACCATTGTCACCGGACGAACCCATTGCACAATAAAATTAACAACTTCCACCAAATCCACACCCAACGACACAACGTTAATCTCTAACTCAAACAAAGAAGACGACTTCACAGAGACACCGAAGGAGACAACGGTGATCTACAACTCAAACAAACAAACCCAATGTCCACAGAGATTCAAACCAAAACAATGGTCACAGGGAAGTGGGACAGAGAGATCTTGAAAACAAACGAAACCCTTACAATGGAGGACGAACAACACTGCTATGAAGAGACAAGTTCAAATGAAATTGAAATCCCTAAAATGGAGAGAGAAGAGGTTGATAAGGACAGAACATACAGTTCGAAAACGAAGATGGCACTTTCGGAATCCTAACTTCTGGCCCCTCCAAATCAGATTTTTAATTACAAATAACATTCAAATTTCGACCAGTTAAAAGTTGACACGTGAAGTTGTCAAATTTTTGTCAAATTTGCGTTGTTAAAATATCGCAATCCAAAATTAAATTAACTTATGAAAATTTCAAACAACCATTCCGATTGGATTCATGTCGGTCACCGATTTTGTTTCCATTGTAGTAAATTGGTCAAAATTACCACTATCTCATTGGCTTTGGTATACAGCAGGAAAAAGGCGACTTAAGATTCAGCCAATTTATAGTTACTCTGTGAACACAGAAAAAGGAGAAAAAAAGATTCTTTGCTCGTTTCAACTGAAAAATTGTATGTACTCAATAGATCTTCGTGTCATCGAACAAGGTAAAAGGAACAAACAAGGGCGAAAATATCATATGTGAATTTGTACAACATATTTAGAGTTCTGACACTGAATCACCAAGGATGTGTTTCTTTGAGAGGGTTTACTGTGCGAAAGGATTTGCAAGTGCGAATTGGCATGTATCGAATGTGTTCACTTTCCCGAATTCGCAAGAGTGAGAGAGTAGATTTGTAGGATGACTTCCTCATCCCATCTCACCAAAGTGAGGGATTTGCGGGAGATAACTAATGTTTTACAATAATGTACCTATCACGAGTTTCAAAAAATATGATAAAAATTAATTTGCATTGTGGTTTTAAACTTTTATATAGAAAAATGTTCTTTGTTATTTATTTTTTCAGATTTATAAAAGACTTCTGAATTAAAAAAAAAACATAAACAAAATTTCAGATTTACTAATCCGGAAAGTATTTTATTAAATGTATTACGTATTTTGACAAATATATTCAGATTTGGAAATTGTTTTCTAGAACACGTTTTTGGAATTTTTTTTCTTTTTTATATATTTGGAAATTGTAGAAAGAAATTCATTTTGAAAACTCGTTCCAAAACGTATTTTATGTATTTCAGAAAACTTTCTCTAATATATATCACATATGTTCCGAAAAACTTGTTCCAGAAAACAATTTTCTGTTTTGAAAAATTTCTCCTTAAAATTCTGTTTCGAAAAATTTATTTCAGAAATTCTTTTCTAAAAATCTTATTCTAAGACTCATGTTTCAAAAACTTTAAAATATTTATTTAAAAATTTTCCATAATAGATATTCAGAAGTCACTTTCGTAGAAAATAAAATAATTATTATAAAAATTATAAAAGCGCAGTTAGAGATTATGGAAATGAATAAAAAAAAGCCCAAATAAAAGCCGCACCAAATCACACGGCGAGAATTTAACTCTTTAATATTGGTGGGCACACCTATGGTGAAAAGGAAAATAAATTTAATATTTTAAACAACAATTTTAAATAATAATTTAAATTCCCAACAGAAAATACTCATTGTTACTTAAATTCGCAACAACAATTTTAAATAATAATTTAAATACACAAGTTAGGTCATTTCAACCATATCATACCATCGGTTTATAAAATAAATGTATAAATTACCCAGTTGAAATTATAAACTGCTGCTGTCATCTTCTTCACACTGCTCCACGACACAATAATAATAATAATAAAAAATAATAATAGTAATAATAATAGTAATAATAATGCATATTGAAAGAAAATTATTGTGTGAATCTACACCACGAAGAAATCAAGAACTAAACGCCACGACCTAAATTCGAGAATTTAAATTTTATATTTTTACATATGAAGGGAAGGGGCAAAACCTATTTTGCAGGATATTCCAAATTAATGATGGATTTTCATGGGTATGGAATTGCATCTTGATTTGTAGAATAATATATATATATATAAATATATACCCTGATTTTAGAGAGTGTGTATGTTCCAATTTTCAACCCTTGAAACGAACTACAATGCAGGAAATATCATCCTTACTGTCTCTGTTCAATGCCTCAGTGGCTAGTTGCTTGGCTGCTTTTTGTGGATCCTTTATTCTTCTTGCAATATCAACAGCTTCTTGATTTCCCATTACCTGGAATAAGTGCAAATTTTAAGTACATGGAATAATTATTTGCCAAAACAATGTGTTTTTCCTTTCCCAATTACCTGATGCATCATTGAGTTTCATTTTCTATTGTCTAAGACTTGTGTGTTAACACTTCCAAGAAAATAAAATGTATAATGTAAAAACTTTATGCATAAATTACCTACAAGAGAAACTTATTTTGATATAGACTTAAACTTTTCAACCCTCATCCCAAGTTCCCAACCACTGAACCTGCTGAAATGCTAATGGAACTTGCATGTATGGCATAAAAAAAACACTTGCAACTATTAGCAGCAACACACCATCAAACACTTTTCAGTGATTCTTGATATATTTGACTCAATTATAGTGCTTTTTGGAAGTGTGTGTTATTAGCCTTTTAGTGTATTTTGAAGGTTCAACAGATAGGTAACAGAAAAAATTCAGAAGAGAATCTGGACTCAAAATATTGGGAATGGTAATGAAATGGAAACCCTAGATGTAGTGCCAATGATGCACTTGTCCACACATAGGCTGCCACTATTAGCAATTGCAATGATGTTGTTAGTCAGAAATTGGGACAAACTTTTGGATTTGAGAAAAGTTGAAATAAAAATGAATTAAATTGTTGGAGGACAGAAGTAAAAGAAATAAAAAATTCAAGGTGAGTTAAGGCATGGAAAGTGCAGTTTTGCCTTAATGGAAAAATAGAGAAAAAGAGAATAACATCAACCTTCCATAGACCATCACTAGCAAGTATCAAAAGTTCAACATCTGGGGTGATATCAGCGTACTGAATGTCAGGATCAGATCGCAAGTGTGTTTTGAGGTTTTTGTCTCCAAAGGCTCGAGAAACTGCTAGCTGCCCATTCACTCTTGCAACATCACCTGATATAAACCACAAAAATGAAGAAATTATTACAAAATAGAAAGCATTCAACAAAAAGGAATCCTAATATTTTCAATCATATTTCATATAGAATGTATGTAATCAAATGATTCTTAATTCATTTTGAAAGTATAACATTGTTTTGTTTTTTCAAATTAGTGATACAGATCTAATTTATTTGATAAACGTTTAATTAGTAACTGTGATGATGGTGATAAAGTTATTCAATAAAAAATTGTTCATGCAATTTGGACTTTACAGTGATGTCAAATCATTCCTCCTCATATGGTTTCTCCTCAGTGTGTAATACTTATCCAAAAGTGTAGGAAACTATGTTGAACTATAAGGCTTTTTCCTTTATTCTCTAGAAAAAAAAATAAGGATGATAGTAATCATAAACCATAATGATATTATGGTAATAGTAATAACAAATCATGATTAAAGAGAAAAAAAAGATGCTCAATGATGAACAGAGTCCAAACAGAGAAGTTCAGAGTCATTCTACAAAGTGAACATGTGATAAACTGGGATTGATTAAGTGTAGCCACAATGAGTAGCATGCCCCTGTGGTTGGGTTTTAACACAGAAAATAGTAACCATTTGGACCATCAGTTAAAGACAACTTAGAACACTTAGGCAAACGAATTTTTTTTCAGCACACCCTAGAAGCAAATGATTCCATTCCAAAATAATACACTTATTGGCTACATTTCTTGTTTATGTCCACAAGAACATCTCAACAAATGTTCACTCTTTTAAAGAAGACAACTAGTTTTCAAACAAACTTGAGAAAATTGTTCTCACTACAAATGTTTTTAACAAATTTGAAAAACCCTCTTAATTATAAGTTGTCGAAGTTCCTACATTGACTAAAGATATGTCTAAATTATAGTATATAAGTAAGTATATAAGTTACCTTATACTGATTTTGTAAAGTAAAGTTATATTTAAAATTCATTTTCTAAGAAGGTATTAAAGCCTGATTCTGATCTAAGGACAGGTGACTTATGGGCCAACCACACTTCTGTTGCGCAGCTCTATTTCTACAATTATAACATAAGTTTTATGAATAGACTTGAGGAACTCTTCCCAAATAGCAAAAACCCGAGTATCCCACTCAAAAATTTCAATAGAATGATAAAGACTATCTCACTTGCATGTGACTCTCGCGTCTCTTCTATTAAATTTTCCTCCCTTCACACAATCTTCCTCTTAATATAGTCTCTTCTCTCTTGCCAAGAGCTCTCATTTACAATGGTGGTAAATGACTTCATTCACGAATATGATTTAGTATACTTAAATTATCACACCTCTCCTCCTAACCTCTCATAATGATGGTGGAATCCTTCAAGAGTGAACATATGTTCTACTACCTCTTGGAATACACTTTTTTTTTTTTAATTTCTACGAGATTCCACATTAACTAGAGATAAGACTAAATTACAATATACAAGTAGGTGAAAACCTCACCTTATAAATTGGTTTTGTAGGGTTGAGTTAGGTTTAAAATTCACTTCTTAACATAGTATCAGAGCTATATTAGAGTCTATCCAACAAAGTTCGTTCTTTGCTACGTTTATTGTTCCACATGTTATTGTCTGGTTATCGAACCACCCATAGATATATAATCCCACGCTCGAGTTGTATATGCTTAGGCATGAGGAGTGTGGTAGAGATCTTATATTGACTAGAGATAAGACCAAATCACAATATTGGATGTAAACCTCACCTTACAAACCATTTTTGTAAGGTTGAATTAGACTAAAAGTCCATTTCTTAACACCACCTACTTTTTAAGACTAGAATTCGGACAACTCCCAAAATGATCATAACTATGGCAAGTTATGAGTGTCCATTGTTAAGGTAAGCTTCCAACAAGACAAAACCATGATTAGTTCGTATCACATTATTTGATCAAAGGTTTAAGGTGAGTATAGACCTTGACCATAGCTGCTTGTGATTTTATTTGGATTAAATAATAACTACAAAATTAAAATTCAGGGAACATTAATTCAACAAATGAAATTGTGTTGTGATAACCAAGCAGCTTTGCACATGGCATCTAACTCACTTTTTCAAGAAAGGACTAAACATATACATATATAAATAATTGTCATTAAGTCAGAGAAAATCATCTCTCAAAATAAATTTCACTGCTGAATAAATTACAGAAATCTATCTTGAATTTATTCTCGTGTGATGAAGTTAACAACTTAACATGCATTAGCCACAACCATATGATACTCATTCTACTTTATAGATATCTCATAAGATCCAACCATCCTAAAAATTGGAATGGTGGCCATATATAAAGCAATAAGGACAATATCTTACATTTAAATTCAGGTTACTTACATTGGCTGCAGCTTACTTTGATTTAATTTAACCTATCCTTCACTTTTTTTAAACTTTCATTCTTTTCTTTCAACCCATCCTTTACTTTTCTAATGAGTACAAATCATGCATATAGAACAGTCAAACCTCTCTCTCACACACACATATCATGTCCATCTCTCAGTTAAATGTAATTTGAAAAGGAAAAATAGATTGGGACTTGTAAAATCTCATTATGGGAAGAAAAAAAAAATCAGCATAGAACACCTAAGGCAACAACTCAGAACTTGCAGAGGGTTAATTGATGAACCTGGCATGTTTGAGACAAAGCCACCTCTTGTCTCAATGCTGCCCCTCTCAGTATTGGGCTCATGATCAGTTGTCATCTGTGCAGCCTCCCCTCCCCTTGACACAACAGCTCGAGAATCTCCTACATTGGCTACCCATAATTTCTGATTATTTATGAGAATTGCAGTCACTGCAGTTGATCCTCCTCGTCCCAAATCAGGACTATGAGAAAGAATTTCCTGATCTGTTGTTACATAGGCATTAGAAATGGACATGAATGGATCATTCCAGAAGTCCTCCTGGATAAAGAATCACAAATTCACAATCATAAATATACTAAAGATAGTAAGAAAAGGTACAATAAGCCAAATTTACCAGTATTTGATCTTTCAAATTTATCTTGCTAGGACAGAGATCTTACCAACCTCTTCAAGACTTTAAAACTAAAATGACTTATCATTCATATGGTTGATAGCAGTATATTGATTGCCAAAAAGTATAGGAACTTGAGAAAAAGAAAATCAGTATACTAAAAGCAATATAAAATTGAAATGAACAAAACTCTTATCCAGATAAATCAGATGAAATTATGATAAATGCATAACAGCTCTTCAGTTTGATTCAACAACTTACTTCCTTCAAGATATTAGGAAACAGATGCTTTTGTAAATAGGCTGGTACACTGTCTCCCAGGTGTCCATCATATATAGCAAAAAGGCCAAGCTCTCGCCCATTGAACTCGACAAATTTTGCTACATGGTAGTCCTCCATGGGATGGTTTGCTTTCCCTTTGACTAGGCTATAGCCATATTTGACTGAGGACTGACTGCTCTTGCCCTTGCCAGAGTTAGATGAAGATCTTCCTCCAACCACCTTCAGATAGAGAAATTGAAATGCAACAACAGGAGAGTTTATAGATTTTGTTTAACATATTTCAATAATGTATAATAACGGAAAGGAAAGAAAAACTTTATATCTATGATTACCAAAAGGGAATGAGTTGGAAGAAGTCACTAAGACAATGTGAGAAACAAATGAAGAAACATATTAATAATGATCTCATATTCCCATCTAGCTATGGGGTTTTCTATTTAATCAATGCCCAGATGCTGCAAGAAATCCATCATTGGCATGGTACCAAAATATTATCTGTCAGCGTAACTAAACATATGGGGTTTTTACTCCATTGTTCTCTTTCCAACCTGTTTCAGTATCAACATTTCTGATCCAGTAAAAGATTGATCATGATTTGTGAATTATTCATCTCACAAAACCAACCATATTCTTTCTCTCATGATGCAAGTAACACTTCTGACCACTCTGGCACCAATATTTTCAGGCAGTGAAGGAAGAAGCCAGGAAGTGACTAACCCTCTTTGAGCCTCTTGGCATGTCCTGACCTTCAAATCTACTAAAATAAATTTTTCCAAAAGAAAAATCCATAAAGGACTATTTCTTCCTTCAAATAGATAGTCAACACAAGCTGCTCAAGTTTACCTATTACCAATTGTCTTCACATTCTTGACTAGCCTTCTGTCAGTATATGCCAACTTATTTTCAAATTAACTGGTAGCCATTGTAAACAAATATAAAGTCATTTTTAGGCTTTCACTTAATAGCTTAAGAGAATTAGTTGACATGGCACCATCTCTGATCTGATGATCTGATTCCATCACTATATCTGTGACCAAGTTTGAAGTTGAGAAGCTTCCATTGTCTGATAACATTTGTATCCTAATGGTTGCTCGTGCCCATGTTATTCTTGCATTCATGTTGTACTTTTACGGGTGTGTTTAGCTTTCGTCTCTCTTTTTCCTTAAATTAACTCCTTACGTGGGTTTATCTGCTTTTGCCTTCTTTGGCCCATTTCTTTCCATTACGCTACATAATAGCTACTTGGTTCTTATTCCTAAACTGGCTGGCATAGTTGGTATATTTTTTTTTGGCAGTTTGTTTAATTTAGATATATTCTTTTGCTGTGTCATTCACCATGTTCTCTTCCAGCTAGATGTTGATCAAGCCAATTCAGAAGACTCAAAATTTCACATTCCAGTCCTCAACTGACGTTTTGGACATTCATCGTGGAACCCATCCACTTCTCTTATAAGCATTATTCAACAATCATTTTGCAGTATCTATGTGAGAATGCTTGGAAAGAGAACAATGGAGTAAAAAGAAAATTCCAATCATAAGGAAAGGAGTTATTCCAACCAGGGGTCAGATTTGTTAGGATATTTATCCTATTTTATCATCATTATATTGTGTTAAGGGTTACCCTATTTATCATGATTATATTGTGTCTAGGATTACCCTATTTATCATGATTATATTGTGTCTAGGATTACCCTATTTATCATGATTATATTGTGTTTAGGGTTACCTTATTTATCATGTACTTTTGTATCAATTTATTCTTATAAATAGAAGATTGTGAGAGGGATCAATCAAGCCCTCTAGAATTATTTCTGTCTCGTAATATCTGTCCGACGCCACAGTCCGTCGTCGCCCGCCACCGGCCACCGTCCGCCATCGCCGGCCACCGTGCGCTATCGTCGGCCACCGTCGTCCATCGCTGTCACAGTTCCGTTCGTCTAAACCCTTAGGGTTTTCTTGTTCCTCGCTGGTACTATTCGTCTTCTTCAGAAATGGCGTCTGGCAGTACTCTTTCTTTCTCC